GCCGAGGAGTCAATGCGACGCCGACTTCAACAGCTGGAGAACGAAAAGAGTGCCGTCACCAAGAAGGCTGTGAAGAGGGACAACGATTTGCATCCGGAGTCCCAGGAATCCAGCGAGGCTTGGTCCATGGTGTCCTCTCCACCTCCGAACCCGTGAACGGCAAGGACTACATCCTGGACGAGCCCTACGAGACGCCCCTGGACAGAGAGAATGACCAGGACTTCCAGCCCATCACGAACCAGTTGACTGAGCACCAGCAACAGGTGCTGAAAGCTCAGGCGGATGAGTGCCGGAGCGAAGCCTATGGAGCAATGGAGCAGTTCCCTGATCCAGACTTCGACATATCTCTACTGGAGCTATGCTGCCCACCAGACTCCCGGCTGGCTCAAACCTTTTTGGACCATGGCAAACGAGCCCTACGTGTTGGTTTGCCTGCCATCGACTTCGGCAAGAAATCAGGACTTCAGGAAGTGCTGAATATGATCGACAAATGGAAGCCCAAGGTCCTATGGATCTCTTTGCCATGCGGACCTTACCCACCCATCCAGGAGATCTTCAATGAGAGCACGCCAGAGATGCTTCAGAAGAGTCTGGAACGAAAGAAGAAGGCCAAGAAGTTGATCTCACACGGTATCACTGCGGCTCGACATCAAGTGAACCGTGGAGGAGAAGTTGGATGGGAGTGGCCTGTCAACAACCCAGGATGGGAGCTTCCGTTAGTTCGCAAGTTTTGGCACGAACTTGAAAATGCTGGCCCAGCATTCAGCGCAAGAGTTGATGGATGTTCCTATGGCATGACCGGTCCCAAGAACATGCCCTTGAAGAAGCCATGGAAGATTCGCACCACCTCACAGACATTGGCGCGAGCTGTTCATCGACTCTGTCCTGGACATGAGTGCCATGAAGAGTGCCTGGGAGGAAAAACGGCCCGTGACTCAGGTTTCTACCCTCAGAGCATGTGCAATGTCATCTACAAGTCCGTGCAGGAGATGATGGCCTGTCGCCCGAACTATGACGTCTTCCCCGCGGCGTATCCGGTCTTTGACACCAAGGACATGATGGAGATTGAAGAAAAGAAGAAACATGTTCGACCTCTCACGGAGGAGGAGAAGAAGCAGGTGAGCAAGTTGGTCGACAGACTTCACCGCCGCACCGGACATCCGTCCAATGTGGCATTGGCCGGCGTACTACGCCATCGTGGTGCTCACCCGGAAGTCATTCAGCTGGCTGCGCAAAATCAATGCAATGAATGTCAAGAGCTACGATCAGCTCCCTTGCACGCCATCGCTGCCATCGAGAAGAGTGAGACTTTATGGGAGACAGTGGTGATCGACAACATGGAGTTCACAGCTGACGGCGGGATTCACCACTACATGGTCCTTGTTGATGAGGCCTCCCGCCTGATGAATGCATATCATCTGTTCTCGCACGGCCCGGCCGAGAGCAGAAATGCCACGGCAGAAGAAGTTACTGATGCTTTGGGCAACTGGTGCCTCCACTATGGCATGCCTGCCAAAGTCCGCCTTGACCCAGAAGGAGCTTTCAGGTTAACCCTTTTGGGGCAGTGGGCCTCTGAGAGGGGCATAGAGCTTGTGTTTTGTGCCGCCGAAGACCATGGCCAGATTGGAATCGTCGAGCGAGCCATCGCCACCTTGAAGAGCACGATCAGGCAGATCTTGCAGGGTGGCGACTACACCGTGAAACAAGCCGTGGTTTCAGCATGCTGCACTCATAACACCCTGGAACGAGTGGAAGGATACTCACCCTTCCAATGGGCTTTTGGCAGACAGCCAACCCTCACTGGCAGGATGCACGAAAAGGGCTACGATGATCCATGGTGGACGTCATCGGCAGTTCCTGGATCCAGCGTGATGCAGAACCTCCGTCTCAGAGTGAAAGCACAGCAATCATTTCTCCAGGCTCAGTCTCACGAGTTGATCTCCCGGGCTGCCAACTCCAAGACGAGGCGAGACCAAGTGTTTGTGCCGGGGGACCTTGTGTTTTTCAAGCGGGTGAAGCCACCAGCTCGGACTCAGGCGCAGATGCGCCTGCCTTTCAAACTATGGAGATGGTACGGCCCTGCTCGTGTTTTGGCGAGTGAAACAAGGACTGATGGTTTTGGTTTCCAGCGAAAGCCCTACCGGCCCAGTTGAGACACGCCTCGGCCAGAGAGAAGACGATTGCAGAGGGCATGAATGCGCCTACGGCTGTGTGGACATTCCACACCCTAGCCAAGGACATCCTGAAGGGAGAGTACGAGATCTTGGATGACCACATGTTCCCCGAGGATGTCACGGCCACCAGGTCTTCCGAACCCGACAACACCGTCGACTACCCGACGAAGTTCTTCTGTTCCTAGGACACCTGTTGTGAGGGCGCCAGAAGATGCCCAGCGGGCCCCAGAAGATGCCCGAAAGAAGATCCAAACAAAGAGTAGTGGTAGTGAGATGACTGGTGGTGAAGGGACTCACCATGAATCCAAGTCATCAAGAGCACCAGAAGAAAGAAAGACAAAGGTGCCAAAAGTAGAAGCTGGGGTAAGAGACCCTGAACGTAGCGGTTTGCAATCCCCCCGCGTTGACCTTAGCCGGTTAATTCGCGATCCAGGCTATGAGCCGGATGCCATGGCGTCTCGTGCGGCCGGAAGGCCGATGCATGAGCTCTTCGAACAGCCTTTGTTCAAGAGACAGCGGAAGCAACTGGCAGCGACCTCGGACGATGAGCTGCTGGCCACATCGTTCTTTGCTGCTGATGGCGAATTGCATGTTGGCAATATGGCCTGCTGCATCGAGCTGCCGGTGCCCCAAAGCTCATCAGAGCTTCGTCGCATGAAGCGGGACCCAGAGACCTACTTCGTGCGCAAGGTGAAAGGAGCTGAAGTGAAATGGCATCTGCTTGATGACAAGCAGAAGGAAGACTTCAAACAAGCCAAACAGGCTGAAGTGAACCAATGGCTGCAAGCTGCCGCCGTGAAAGCTGCTGTGGGTCATGTCCCTCGCCATCGGCTCATTCGCATGCGCTGGGTCTTGACCTATAAGGACACTGGAGCAGCGAAGGGACGCATCGTCCTCATCGGCTATGAGGATCCGGACCTTCAGGAGATCCAGTCAGCGGCTCCGACCATGACCCGTCGGACCCGCCAGCTGTGCCTGCAACTCGCCAGCATTAAGGGATGGCGCACCCTAAAAGGGGACGTCAAGAGCGCCTTCTTGCAGGGCGATGCTGTGGAGGAGAAGCGTGATTTGTTTGCAGTGCCAGTTGACGAGCTGGCAGACGCTTTGCAAATCCCAAGAGGCAGCGCAGTGCAGGTAGTGAAATCCTGCTACGGGCTTGTGAACGCTCCTGCATCTTGGTTTCAAAAGGTGCGTGACACCTTGAAGCACCTCGGCTTTGTTCAGTCCCGCACAGACCCTTGTTTGTGGTTGTTTTTTGAAGAAGGTGAAGAAGAGGAAAAGACCACTTTAGGGTTTGTTTGCAGCCACGTGGATGATTTTCTCGTGGCCGGAAATGAGCAGAGCAGTGCATGGACCTCAGCTGTCACCGCATTCCACCAGAGCTTTCGGTGGTCTCCGTGGGAGTGTAACGCCTTCACCCACTGTGGCATTCAGTTGAAAGAGGAGATGGACTTCTCGACGACCCTCGATCACTCGAAGTTCATTGAAGCCATCGAGCAGATCAAGTTCCATCCCAGGCCTGACCAGGAGGCCGTGACGGGTGATGAACTGACACAGCTGCGAGGCATTCTTGGCGCCTTGCAATGGAGGACTCCCAGAGTGAGATCAGCTGTGCCACGGTAGCCACCTTGAAGGCCGCCAACAAGCTTGCTCGTGAAGCCTTCCACCAACGACACGTGTCGACCCGGATCAATCAGCTAGGACTGCAAGACCCCAAGGACGTATGCTTCATTGGTTGGAGCGACGCTGCACTCGCCAACAGGCGGGACCTTGGCTCCACCGGCGGATACATCATCGCCATGACCAGTCCCTCGATGCTGAAGGGTGAGAGGTCACCACTGACCTTTGTGTCTTGGAGGTCGGCTCGCCTCCAGCGGAAGGCAAGAAGTTCCTTGGCGGCAGAGGCGCAAGCCTTAGCGGAATGCGACCAGGAGTTGATGTTTTGTCGCCTGGCTTTCATGGAGCTACGTGGAAAACAATAGAGGAAGCGGCTTTCCTCGATCCCCTTCGATCCATCGTGTTCGAGCATTCGCACTTCGTTGTTGCACTTGGTACATAGGCAGTACCCACGTCTTCACCACCAACCTTCCTAGCTAATAGAGCTTGAGGTTGCCCGCTCACCAACACAAGCGCCCTCCGCTGAAGGCTCCAATTCAAAACGCGTTTTGCCCACTTGCCCTCCGGCAAATTAGCCTCATGTACATTGCAAAGTTCCAGTTTTGTAATGCCAGATGGGAACACAAATGCGCCAACACGCTCAGCGCCATTGAGCTCGCAGGAGGTGTGCATTTTGATTTTCCATATTGCAGCCAATTGCAGCCACTCGCCAGTGGCTACCAAGTGGCTGCAAGTGACTGCAAGTGACTGTGGCTTCTGCCCGGAGAATATCAAGATTTCTCCGCACGCAGTTCGGAAGAACACCACAATTTTTGCAATGCGGTTCTGCAAACAAATTCCGGTTTTCTCCCGATTTGCGCGCCGAAAAAACATGAAAAAGCCAAAGTTTTCCAAAAATATACTCCAAACTTCTGCAGGGCTAGCAACGAAGAACCATTACAGTAAAGGACTGTACGAATTTCAATCATTTCCATCCTAAATTGATGCGCCAAACTTTCCGAAATCGATGGCCCTGGGGATGACCATCGCAGGTAGAATATGCACCTTTCAGAAAGCCGGGGAACAATTTTTATTGTCAGGCAACAACCATGATACCTCGCAGAGACAAAGCTAGGCCTCCAAAATCACCATGTTTGTTTTTGATAAGATTGTCTACAAGTACACGTTTCGTTGCCTCGTGGTATTCTAACTGCATGTGGTCTCCGGTCTCCCCCCTTCGGTGTTTAAAACCATATTCTAACTCCATATAGAAGAATCGTATTCTAACTGCTCGTCCGCCATAGTACAGTTTGTACATAGAGAAGCCATCTTGAGGGCAAACTTCGTCTACCTTGGTGCCCATAATGACGCTAATTGGGATCAGCTTGGGTGAGACAATGTCGGCATTGAAAGTATCTGTCAGATTCTGCTCGGCCTGCCCCCCAGCAGGACCAGGATTTTAAGTGAATTTCTGCGAGCTATTTTGGCGCCAAATGGGGGACAGGTGGCGCCATCTAGGCGCCAGGTTGGCTGTCTCACGGCTGCGTTGGAGCCATCTTGGGGCCAACTTCGTCTACCTTGGGGTCCATAATTGCAAAAAAACAATCCAAAAATACACTTCCAAAACGCTGTCCCCAGTGGCCCTGCAGCCGAGCAATAATCAACGCCAAAACGCTCTCTCTCCAGTGGCCCTGCAAGCACGACGTACGAAAAATCATCCAAACATGTACCTCCAAAACGCTCTCCTCGGTGGCCCTGCCGCTCAACCATAGCCACGCACGCGCGAAAAAACACCCTCCTAGCAGCGCCCGACGGACGCCCGACACCGACAAGCGGTGTGGGCGGATTTTTACGAACTCACTTCTAGCAAAGAAAACATTTTTTTCAACTTCTTTCGTTTCCTGCGTGCTCATTTCAACCATCGCAATCCCTTTCAACCTTGTCTACATCTCATCGTCCATCATCAGGTCCTCACCCGTATTAAGGGGATCTCGAAGGGGGGGCGGCTCTTTTATTAATACGATGTTGACATTGAATGTTTTGGCCGCTGTTCCTGGGAGGCTTCGATCTTGCCCGTCACGGTGGTTGCCATCCTGTTGACCACTCGTTTTCTCGATGTTTTCGGCACAGATCGGTCCACCTTCATCAGAGAAACAAAAACAGTAAAAAATTGAGAAACAACATAAACAACGCAACCAGCGTAAACACATCCAGCCACCGCCAGCGTACCCGTGTACCAGCCCACATGTCGTTCGCGGACACACTTTGCTATGTTGTTCCCTCAATTAATTTTTGAAGAACATGTGTGTGTGTGCCCTTTCAAGCCTCAGGGCCTCATCTGAGGTAGGGTCCTTTTTTAACATTGCGCGTTGTTAAGCCTCAGGCAATTTCATGTCAGAACCTGTTCAGCAACTGGCAACACTCTCAACACACAATCCTGGACCACCTATCCCCCACCTGTGAACATTCTGATAGCACTCGCATGTATTAGCTCTAAACGCTTTGCTGTGCTTTTGTTCCTTTGTGTTTTTTGTTGGGTCTTGAGTGGTGGTCTTCCTGGCTTCCCGATGGGTGCACTGCGCAAATGCTTCTCTGGGCCCATAGATGGAGGGTTTCAGGTGGTGTTCCTGGAGTCTGGCGTGCTTAGGTCATTACTAACAATTCTGCATGCACAATCCTAGACCCCCACGAGGAACGCTTCCAAAGAGCCTGTGTTGCAATTAGAGCTGGGGTTGTTTGGAAAGAACCCATCACTACCCCCTTGCGGTGCTTGACCCCTTTTGGGGGGTCAAATTTGCAATTTACAATTTTTTGATTTTACGGCAGTAGGTTTTTAGCACCCTAGGTGGGTTGAAAATTGTTAGATCTAGGGCTTAGGTAGCCTATGTGACGACGTAGTCCTTTTTTAGAATTGAGTGAGCCCCCCCTCAAAGAGGTCTTGGCCTACTTTTTGAGACGTTGAAAAAGGAAGGGGGAGGGGGGAGTCCAGATTGTAAGACAGTTGGGTACCTCACAGAGCACATTACAATTTCCACCCCCTATCGGCGTTGCTTTCTTTTTGATGATTGTCCAAGCTGCCTCACCGCCCCCAAGCTTTGTCCATTCGTTGAGCCACAGTGACGTTGTCATCACCGCCTTTCAGCATGCGGGTACTGAGCCAGGGCATTTGAAGCAACCGCATTTGCAGCTTGAATTGGGACACAAGACACGCCAGTATCTTTCCGCCCAACAGCCGGCCCACTCAACCTCTGATCCCTGGACGCAGCATAATATGGCTTTGTAGGTGCACTATGGTACACCCTGTGCCGTGTTTTTCCTTTTATGTTCTGGCTTTAAACATTTGTTAACGAAATTCACGGGTGGCAGAAGGGTGTTCTAATTGTTATGTGGACTTGTGGGCGCACTAAACACACACTGCACGGGGTGTTTTTCATGTGCGGTGCTTGCCTCAAGTTCTATTGGGGAACCTTACCAGTGCAGAACGTGGGGTACTATATAATTGTAATATGGTTTTCTGGGTGCACTGTGCTACACCCCGTGCAGTGCATGTTCTGGTTTCAACATGTCTCCTACGAGCCTCAGTAGTCGGAAAAAGGGTTGTAATTGTGATATGGTTCCCACCCTTCCGCTCGGGTCAGATTCTCCAATAAATGTTGGGGCCAGCGCATCCAAGGAGCACACGCCCTAGTGTACCCAGCCAGAAATATTTTCCACAGGAAAAATGCGGCACAGTGCGCACTTCAGAGCGCCCCAAAAGCAATGTTACAATTTGTCACTCTCCTATACGATCCTATACGCACGGCAAATGTGAGGGCTAGTGTGACTCACGAGAAACGCAGGGCAAAGTGTACAAGCCTGTAGCAAACAGCCGAATTTACAATTGCACAATCGATCATGGACATGGAAAACGGGCCGTGCAGAATCTTTATCACCGTTTTTCAGTGCAGATTGGAAATTGTAAGTTGCAATTTTGAGGGTGGGTCCATGCTTATACCTCACCCTCAAAAATGTAATTTATAATTTTGACACCAGTGTTGTCAGATGGAAGTTTCTTTTAGACCGCGCAATGTATCTTCCTGCATTGCCTTGGGTTGGGCTGACGCTCCAGAGATGTGTTTGACGCCCGCGCGTTGCAATTTGTTTGGCGCTCACTGGTGTAATCAGTCACGTCCGGCTTGGATTGCCAACCGCCTGCCTCACAGCCGCGAATGGCATAGCCCAGGAACTGGGTTTCGCTATATAAGGGGACAATGTCCCCTCATGTCCCCTCAGGTCCCCTGATCCAAAATTGTTGCAATGGTCTGGTTTCAGACGTGCGCAGTTTTGATGAGCAAACTGTTTCCCTGCTGGCCTTGCAGGTTTGAAGTCCTACGCCAACAACCATTGCCGTCTTCCGATCAGCGGCGCTGAAGGAAAGAAATGGCATTGCCCGGGGCGATCATCATGCTAATTAGCACGTTTTCAGCGTGAGGCTGACATGTTGTCATGCCGTCAAGTTACCAAAGTCGTATGGTGTGGGTTGCCAAGGGGCAGTATGACATGCTATTGTTTTGTCACGTTCACTAGCTAACATGTTGTCACGGCATGTTGTCAACCTGTCATGCTGGCATGTTGTCATTCTGACGTGCTGACGCGGGTTAGGCTAACGTGCTGAAATGTTGTCATGCTGACATGGTGGCAGGTTCCAGAGTGGGTTTTGCAGGACGCTCGCTGGTTTTTGTTGCGGTGAGTCGTGTTTTCCCGTGTGTGGGCGCAATTGGGCGCATGTGCCGTGCCAACACTTGTTGGGTGTGTACTGGCACTTGTGGCAAGCGAACATTTGTGCAGGAGATGGTGGTGATGGTGGTGGTGACATGCTGCTGTTGCTGCCGCCGCCGCTGCTGCTGGTGCTGCTGCTGGCTGCTGCTGTTGCAGCTGGAACTGCCAAGCCTTCAGAGCCGTTCAGCCTGACATTGAATGTTTGGGGTCCGAAGCGGGGAACTCATGCATGAAAGCGAAGAGCGCCGTGACAAAAGCAAGGTGCACCTTCCTTCGCACCGTTCCACGCGGGCGCCAAAGCTGTCGGTGCGCATGGCAGCAAGCACAGCGGCGGCAGCAGTGCGGCAACATGGGTCAAAAAATGGCCAACGCGAAGCTGGTTGCCACGGCCCCGCATAAGAAGGCACCAGATGTCCAGGCATTAGACTCGAAGGGTTCCCTGCGCACCCGCCATCAGCCCAATAAGGCTTTTGAGACGTGCAACATGGCAACATCTCCTAAAGTTTGGCCATTCGAACTAAGCCATGCGAAGCGAGTGCCCCTTGCAGGCCCAAAGCAAGGCAACTCTAAATTTGCATGGCGGAAGGGGAAAAAAATGCATGGAATTTTGGGTCAACTTTATGTTGATATCACCAAACTTGCGGAACTTGTGGATATCACAGTGGGCATTTTGAGAGGGGAACGCTGTGAACAGTAAATTTTTGTGATGAACATGACCATTTTCAATCATTATCTCAATGTAATGTTGATTAATGTCCTGAGCATGCCTTTCTGGTTTGGGGGTGTTTTGGTGGTCATAGGGGTGTTTCTCAACATTAAATTAAACCTCCTCAAGATTGGTTTGGCATAGACAATTAATGAAGGTGACATTTGGTTGAGCTGTGGTGTGTTCGTCGGACGCCGGGCTACAGTACTTCGATCAGATCATTTCCAAACTACGTTGCTCAGAGCAGCAATGCCATGGCTTGTTTCCTCGATTGTCATTGGTCATCCCTATGCCGCTCTGCCCAGGTGGACAACAAACCTTTGCCAACCAGACGTGAACCTTTTTGAACCATGGGGTGCTTAGCGATCGGCCAAGGGCTTTCTGCTATACAGAGTGCTCTCAGCCTTAAACGGAACACTTTCGACATGAGGATGTGGAAACACCATGTTTGGCAATTCAAAGCGTGCAAACATTGCAAATTATAATTTCCAATGCTACCAACAACAACGAAACTTTCTCCGCCATATTCAATATTAGCCGGGGTGGAGCTCATGGGCGGCCCCTGCCGAATCGCAGAGCCTGGCAAGCCTCATACGCGAGCACCGCCTTGCACAGACAATTTCCAGGTTGATACGTCTTGAACATATTGACATTGTTTATTGTTTTCATTCGTTTTTGGGGCAAGTAAACCAATGAAAACCAGCGCAGCGTCCAGGTGAGGAAGTTCATGTTCGATGGCCGTGAATGGGAATCAGTGGAGCAATGCTACCAAGCAATGAAGTTCAATGACCGATCGATCCAAGATGCCGGGCAGCAGATGCAACAAGTTCCGATTGCACTTGAGTGCGCTCCCTTCCATGCGCTGACCGTCATAAAGTACCGCATGTGGCCCCACATGTGGCCCCGCTGAGGAAAAACTGCGGTCAATAAAAAAGAAAGAAGGTGAACCATGGCAGCAGAATAGACTCAGTTTGTTTGTTGCCACCGCTGACCACGGCTATAGCAGCCATGGTCACAAGGACAAAAAAATCTCTTCCCTTGGCGTTTGAAGGACAAAGATTCAAAGCATGGGATGGACGTTTGGAACGAAGGACAGCGCTACAAAAGCGTCCGGAAAGACTGGGACGCTGTGAAGGTGCAGGGTTTGATTAGAGATGTTTTTGTTGGCAAACAATTCTTATTCCTTTGGATGCTGCAAGGTGGAGATGATGTATCGGGCGAATTTGGCCAAGTACATGCAGCATCGTGACTTACAAGAGGAGCTATTGCGATTAGTTGTAAGACCTTGCAATGGCGAACGGGTGTCATGGTTGCCCAATGATTGTGCAAATACATGCCAATGCTTCCCCCGCTGGCCCAGGAGCTCTTGTCGACAGGCCATGTGGAGATGGTTGGTGCTCCGAGCACTGGTTGGAAGTTGAAGTCCGGGGCAACAGTAAATTGGCAACTTGTCTGGTTGTGAGTTGTGTTCGCAGGTGGCAAGTTCTCAAATTAGTTTGTGGGAAATAGCTGGACCGAGTTCTGTTTTCTGAGTTTTCCTGCAGCTTGCAGACATCCATACAGTGCTTTTGGAATGTTGAAAGCAAATAACGTTCCTTTTAGCGCGCGCCGCGCGCAGTTCGAGCCTAGTGGTGATGTGTGTTCTCGCCTATGTGTACCTGGTTCAATGATCCTGGATGGTGATGGTAACAGGTAACAATTCCCATTTGTTGTCACCAACCATTCAAGTCGCTCCATTCTGAAACATGCCTGGGACAGCCTATTCACTGCCCAGTCGCTGGCCTCGCTTCAACTCTTCATGGTATTTCTGCCACATGTCTGATGCACGCTGAACTTGCTCAACCTCTTTCTTCAACTGTTCGATCTCACGATTTTTCTCACTTGGATCTGCGGCGAGCATCTTCTCACGCAGTAGTTGCACATACAGTACTGCTCTCTCAAGGCATCTCGTTCTCCACGAAGATCAATTGATTTCTCAATACAGACCCCCCTCGCCCCCCGGGGAATTGATTTTTCGATGCCGACCCCCCCCCCTCTCTAAATTCAATTCTCTCCTGGAGAACGTTTTCGTGAGCCTCTCATGATTTCAGGATAGTTGAAACCCTCTTGAACATTGAGAAGAGTGCGTATGATATTCTAATCACGAAAGGTGTTCCCTGAGGGGATACATACCTAGAGTCAGAGTTTGTTTTGTGAAGCACGTCAATTCTCTCCTGGGGACCGTCTTCGTGAGCCTCTTATGGTTTCAGGGTAGTTCAAATCCTATGATGCTCCGATTCAATGCTCACTGATGCTCTGAGCCATGGGGCAAGTAAGTTTGTTTTCCTAAGAATCTGTTTGAACATTTCGAGAGCATATGTTTGAACATTTAGAGTGCATATGAAATTATATTTACGAAGGTCGCCTCCGAGGGGATAAATCACCATGTCGAACATTGCATTTTTGTTCCTGCCTCTCGCGTTCTCTTCTCTTCCCGCTGTCCTACCTTTCGTGTCTCCCTCCTCTCAAGTCTCAACTCCTTCACTCTCTCTCTCTTCTTGCTGCTCCTCCAAAGCTGCCTCAAGCTGGATGATCATCCACTGCGTCTCAAGCTTCTCTATGTCTGACTCGTGCTCAATCTCTGACGGTTGTGATGTTGATCCTGCCTTTGTTTGCTTTCGGCTCATTTGCTTCAACTTCTCGAATCCCCACCGTGCCAAGCTCAAGGCTCCCACAGCTGAAAGAACCACCACTGTGAAAAATGCACGTGTCCACCTGTCCACCACAACTTGTCCGTACTCTCTGCACTGATTGCCGTCTTTGTTGCATTGACTTCCACTGCACTGATCTCGTTTATCTCATGGCCTCGGCTGCCTGGCAACAATGGACAATGCCATTACAATGATCATAGCGGCTTTTGCATTGCCACCGAAAGCCCGTGACACTTTTCCCACATTCTTGTTCATGTCCTCTTTGGCTTTGATCTCCTCATACTCTTCGCAGCCAATCTTTTGGTCGTCCACATCGATCATCTTGATCAGGAACTTCAGGCCCTTCATTCTGGCCATTTCTGGCCTTAGCTGAGGATTTTTGTGCCAATGTCACTCGTGTTGACTGCTGCTAGGAATTCCAGTCAATTCTTTCTCTGGCTGCTGAAGAGTCACCGCGGCATACCATATCATACCATATCAATGTCCTCGGTCAAGAACTGCCAACAGTGTTTGATGAACAACCATTCACTGCAGCCTCCAACCATTGCCACATACTCACTCTCACCTGATGAGAATGCGATGGATCGTTGGCACCTCACGTAGCTCTCCATCAAGCAACCATTCAAGTAAATGTGAACAAAGCTAACTGATCGACGTGTGTCAGGTTGTCCAGCATAGTCAGCATCACAAACAATCTCCAACAGGTGGTTGCTGCCATTCTCACTCCACTCATGGATTCCTCTGTGGTGTTCCATGCTCAAGCAACAAACCTTCTTGCACTGTTTCCAGGAGAAATGAGCTGTTCTTGGTTGGTCTCTGCATCAATGAAGCCAAGCCCTGAGCCACGAACTGAACGTCTGGACGGTGGGGTGCTATTTACAACAGCTTCGTGACTGCACTTCTGTTTTGAGTCACCTGTCATTGCCTCATCATCCTTCTTCAACTTCGTGAAATTGTCGCTTTGGCCAATTCCTTGATGTGCTCCTGATCTGGGCGGATGGTCGCACCATTCTCGACAATCTCCATGTTCCTCTTGAGGTATTGGAATGGCCCTGCATGTTCCATCCTCTCCGCGCTTCTCGACCTTCCACGACTTGCCTAAAAAAAACTTGCCTTCGTTCAACCTCCTTCCTCAACTCCAACAGGCAGCAAGTCATCCGCTTCATCAACCCTGTCAGCAACGAATATATACGAATACAACCGTTCAGACTGAGGCCTCACATTCGATCCAGCATCATTGATAGCAGTTTCCTCACGTTCAGCCTGTTTCATGAGGGTCAACATGCCTGGCTCAACTCCACCAACAAAAGTCGGGAATTGGAACCGCCAGTCCATCCACTTGGAAAACTCTTTTGACTGTGATTCTGCACCTCGATCAACGGCCTGAACTAGGCCTTGCACACCTGCAGCTCCTGCAGCCGCTGTTGCACCTGTGGCCGCATTGGCCTGATCTCCAGCTCCCATGCCCTCCATGGTCAAGGCCCTTTACTAACCTGCCTGGGTCTTTGACGGGTCATGTGCTCCCCCGTGGAAAAATCCCCCAAAAGGGTACGGAGTTGCCGGGGCTACTGGCAGAGCTCCGCTACCATGAAAACAAGTAACGCTCCTTTTAGTGCGCTCAGTTCGAGCCTAGATGCATGTGGTGATGTGTGTTCTCAGCTATATGTACCTGGTTAAAGCCTTTGAACGCGGTGGTCAAAATCTGTCAAATGTGTTTTGTGCTTTTAAAAACATATTCATCAAGATTTTCATTTAGAACCTGATGAGGAGCTTTTGGAATGGCAGCCGCTTGCACGCATATGAAGACATGTGCAAGGGTGTTGAATGATTGCCAACTTTCAAGGGTTGCTACTTTGGCAAATCATTGAGCTCTCTGATAAGATCGGAATTGCTTCCGCTTCTTGCGACGCCAGAGGAATCCAAATGAGAATCCGAGAAGAACTTCGACCAGAAGGTGAGCAGAAGCAAGACCTCGTGGATTCTTTGGTCAAAGAGTTTGAGGCTGCTGGAGTTGGAAGCTGCTGTGCAGGTTTTGTTTGGGTGTGCTGCTCAATGCTGCAACAGTTTGGCGCAGCTGCACGCTAGGAGTACATCTATGGTGAAGGGGGGGGTACAGGAGCCGCTGCCGCAAATGGAAGGCCCAAAGGGAACCTTGGAAGCGGACCAAGAAGAGCCCTCCAAAATGGCTGGGTGATGCCCAGCTGAGCATAGCATGCGGACGCGTGAAGTTTCCAAGAAACTGTTAGATTGTGTTATTTCCGCGAATTGCTGTGAACATGTGCGAGACAAATGGGGTCTTGTTGAGCCAGGCTTTGAGTGAAATTCTCATGACCTTTTGGTATTACCGCATGATGCTGAATGTCAGCCTGCTCCTGTAGCGTTTGTTTCCGACCACCATCGCATGACCCTGAACAAGACACCGCGCTAGTTGTTCTATTTCCGTTTGCGATTGACACGCCACGCCTATTGAGTTTTACTGGCAATGAGGAATCACAAACTAAAGATTGTCATAATAAAATGCCGCGCTTTCATCATGGTCCTGACGGCAAGCGCTGCGGCCCCAGAACAAGTCAAACTGTTTTGTCATAGAAGCAGCTGGCATTGTGTTGCATTTTGTTTCCAGGATGTTCAAGGTTCCATTGCATCCTTCTATTCTTCTTCCTCAGTGTTTTCTTTTTGTTTCTTTGCCTCCAGTGCAGAGGTTCCATCCTGGAGCGCTTCGCTGCCTCGGGTGGTGCCATGCTCCCAACAGCCGACCTCAAACAAAAAATCTTGATTGTTCGCACACTTGCCATCAAAGCTTTCTGGCCTACTTGTCCAGTCAAGATTGCAAGCTCACGTTTGACACTGAGACACTTTACACGGCCAGATCAGCCGAAGAAGGCGGGTGTGGGACCGTGAGGGACTTGGTACCTTGCACCATTTTGCACCTGCCCATTTCTGAAATTCTCACCGCACAAGGTTTCCAGTGCTGATTTGGGTCACCTACCCAGCTTTGCTTTGCAAGAGTACTTTGGAAATGATGAGTCCAAGGGCCCAAAGGGCTGTCGTGGGCTTCGGGGTATGCGGCCACCACGGGCCATGATGCTTACAGCTGTGAGCTTTCAGGAAGTCGCACTGCGAAGTTGGCAGCGCTTTTTTCTTCGCAGCAGAGGCTTTCGTTTGCGCGTCATGCTCACAGCTTGAGTCAACTGGAAGAACACTTCAGTAAATAAAGTGTGCTTTGATTGACACCGTGAGCATTTGATTGCCTATGCCATGTGCGACAATATGATGCCTTTGATAGAGTCAAATTGGCAATTTTGTTGGCCAGACCGCCAGTGTGTGGTGCTGCCTTTAGAAGCCTTGCCCTTGTATATTATATATATGCTTCTGGTGATGACGGCATATGACGGCCTTGCAATGCTGGTAGAATGTTTAGATTGTATGATGTCTGTGTGGGTGTTTGTGCAGAAGAACTTCTTGCAATGCAGGACCCAGGCTATACCTTTGTTGTGCATGCGCATACATGCCGGCCACGTGAGGTGTGTTCCAAAACCCTCAGAGCGAAATTAGATGAGGTTCATATAGGTTACGGCGATCAACTGGAAACCCAGCACGCGAAGCCTTGAGAAAGCTTCACAAAAGTTGCATACAGCTTGTTGTTGTGAAAGTGTTCGCCAAAGCTTTGTGGCTTACTTATGTTTGTGAACGTGTGCATTCCTTCCACCGCGAAAGGCTCCGGTTCCGAGCAAGTAGGTATTCATGAAATGAGGCCCACGAGAGTAAAAGCAAAGGTCTAAGGTCGGGAAACCGGGAACACTTTCCTGAAAGACCTAGCTGATTAGAGCCCCTTTGCAACCAGATCTTCAACACAGCTGATCTACTGTATATTATACAGAGAGAAGGCTTCATGCTATTTGTTCCACTTCCTGGATTCGCTGCATATTCGGTGCTGCGGAACCTCAAGTGTTTGAGTCAAACTCTCCGAAGCCCATAGCCAGATTTAGAGTGGCAGCACTATTCCAACAAACATCAAGCATTCCCTTTTTTCGGTGCGATGCAGCACAATGTAATCCCTCATCTCCCGACTTGGCGATTTTCAACAACCGATTATATAAGTTGGATGACGGCAGACGGGTGATTGCGGCTCCCAGGTGTGGCACGACCACAACCTCACAGACTTTCGGCTGCAATTGAATATAGTTTGATATATAAATATTTAGGCTACCATCAAGTTCCATCAATCTATTAGTTGTCATATACCGGTTATCACTGCAAGTGTTCTCGTGCTCAACCCCGAGGAATGCATGCAGCAGGACTGGATGAGACAAAGAACTTGCAAGCCCGACTGTGTCAATCAAAAACTGCAGGAGTTTCCAGAGTATCTCCCAGCATTCAGGGCACTCCCGGGTGGCATCGAACGTGCTGCCAGTATGCACTTTCTCTCAATTTAACACTAGCCCGTTCTCGGATAGCTCCCCTTGAGTGACATTTCTTGTTTTATTTGTCAGCCATTCTGCAAGGTTTCACGGACGGCTCTTTTGCCAGGCTCAGACATTGGCCGCTACTGCGTCATGCACCAACAAGGTGGAATCTATGCAGACTTAGACTATGAGGTTGGGTGGCAGAGTCTTCAGCACTGACCCATTGGATACTTGCTGGTGGCAATTTGGACAAGGTCCGTGCCTTCTTCTACACTGAGCTTCTTGCAAGCAATTAGGCACAGACTGTGGACAAGCGAATGGGAAGCATTTGATGGATGTAATCAAGGCTCCCAGCCCACTTGGTCAGCCTTGTGGAGTGTAGATCAAAGGACCCGAACCCATTATGACATTTGGTAGCACAAACATGCACAAACATGGACAATCATGTTTTTTTTTGTTGATGCCCTTCATTCTCGAGTATATGTTTACGTATACGTATAATGCCGACCGTATACCTGTATGTGTATGTGTGTGTGTGTAACCCTTGGAGTCATAGGGATGCTTTTGCATTCATTTTTGTTTTATCGCAGGGGGATGCCGGGGATTTCCATGGTCGGCATCCAACGAAGACACCATGGATTTCCTGTGATATGAGTCAGGGACGCCTGACTCACGTACCTGCTTTTTCCTTGTACTGAATGGCATGAGGCTAAGCCCAGGACCTCAATAGCTGCAGACATGCACGGAACGCCGTCAACCTGTCGCCTCGTCGGTTCGTGGCCTTTAACTACAGGAACTCTGGTCCCCTTCACCTGGTTTTTCAGGATTTGGGTCTCTTAGGCCGGCGTGTGGCGCCGCAATCAAGTCAGTACGCATATTCATGAGTGTGTCTGCCCCTTGGAGTCACAGGGATCCTTTTGGATTAGAGATTTCTTTACGTTTTTATTGTTTCAGCAGGGGGCCGCCACGGCCGCTGTGCGAGAGAGAGCGGAACCCGCCGGTCGGAGTGGGGAAACGGCAAATCATTTGCTTGAGGGAGCTTGACCGAACGAGTCAAAGGAAGTCACTGCCTGTGGCTGACCAAAACGCGATTCTGCATCGACCTTTTACAGCCTGGATTTAGGGAAGCACTCAACTTGATTTTTATAGCAGGGGGATGAGGACCCCTTGGTGTGCCTCATCTAACAAAGACCGCACCAAGTGGATGTGATATCAGTGCCCGGCCAGCACTGACGACCTGCCTTTCAATTTTAAGCCTTTTCTGCAGTCACGCATTGAGCTTTTGGCCCTGCTTCCTCTTGAAGACCTCCCGGCTCCGTAGGTTTACGTAACCTTTTCAGGAATTGGGTAGCCAGGTTGGCGTGTGGCAACCGCTTTCACATCAGTATTCATTTTCCCAGCTACGAAGCAAGCGTCCAGGGACACACCGTGGAGAGGGGTGTACCAAGGAGCGCGGCATGGTGGAGTAAGGGGAGGAGGCGGAATCGTCAATCTGAGGCTCCAGCAGGTTCCAGGGGACCTTCTCCGGCGGTAAGAAAAACACGGAAAGATGAGAGAGTTCCCAGCTACGACTCAAGCGTCCAAGGACACACCAAACAAGAAAAGGAACGAGACAATGGTGTTCCCAGCTGACTCAAGCGTCCAAGGACACACCCGACAAGATAAGGACCCTCCCAGCTACGAAACAAGCGTCCAGGGACACACCAAGGGAGCGGGGTACCTGAGTCTTGCATCCAGGAACACCCCCCAAAAAAAATAGCAGCAAAAAAGGAAGAGGGGAGAGGGAATGGGGAGGAAAGAGGATCAAGGGCCCGTAGCTTCGGCCGCTGGGGCCAATTACGCTGTGCCAAAATGGCTGGCTGCTCTGACCGCTGTGGTCACCTAATGGCTTGTCCGAAGACTGTCTACTTGGAATTCAATAATCCGTCAGGTCTTGGCAAGTAACTTTGGCGTAAGCCACCTACGCTCGCTGCGAGCTGCTCTGTATCCGGGCAGGGGATACGATCGACAAACCCCCGTTCGATGGGTCCACACAAGGCACTCTTCGGGCTGACCCTGGGCTGACTCTGAGGTCAGACACACTTGATATTTTGTGTACGGACGCTGATGCGGTTTACCACACGCCGGCCTAA